GAGTATGTGGTCAATTTTCGAGAAGGTTCCATGAGCTGCAGAGAAGAAGGTATATTCTTTCCTATTTGGGTGGAATGTTCTATAGATGTCTGTTAAGTCCATTTGATTCATTACCTCCATTAATTCTCTTATATCTCTGTCAGATTTCTGTCTGACTGACCTGTCCATTGGTGAGAGAGGAGTGTTGAAGTCTCCTACTATTAGTATGTGTGGTTTGATGGCTGCCTTGAGTTTTAGTAATGTTTCTTTTACATAAGTGGGTACTTCTATATTAGGGGCATAGATATTCAGGATTGAAACATCATCCTGATGAATTGTTCCTGTTATGAGTATAAATTGTTTCTCTCCATCTCTTCTGATTGATTTTAGTTTGAAGTCAACTTTGTTAGAAATTAGTATCGCCACACCTGCTTGTTTCTTAGGTCCATTTGCTTGATAAGCCTTTTCCCAGTCCTTTACTCTGAGTAAATGTCTGTCTTTGTGGTTGAGGTGTGTTTCTTGTAAACAGCAGAATGTTGGATCCTGTTTTCGCATCCAATCTGTGCCTATAAAGGTGAGTTGAGTCCATTGACATTAAGTGATATTAATGTGCAGTGGTTGTTAACTCCGGTCACTTTTTTAGTAGTAGAGTTTGGGTGTTTCCCTTCTTTGTGTTGTGCTGCTGAAGGGTCTCTAGATGTCTGAGTTATTGTGGTCATTGTTGGACTCCTTGGTTTGTGATTTTCCTTCTATTACTTTCTGTAAGGCTGAATTTGTGGCTACGTATTGTTTAAATTTGTTTTTATCCTGGAAATTTTTGTTTTCTCCATTTATAGTGAATGAAAGCTTGGCTGGGTATAGTAGTCTGGGCTTGCATCCATGGTCTCTTAGTTTCTGCAGTACATCTCTCCAGGACCTTCTGGCTTTCATGGTTCCCAAAGAGAAATCAGGTGTAAGTCTCATAGGTTTACCTATATAAGTAACTTGGCCTTTTTCCTTTGCAGCTCTTAATATTCTTTCCTTATTCTGTATGTTTTGTGTTTTGATTGTTATATGGCGAGGAGATTTTTTTTTTTTTATCCAGTCTATTCGATGTTCTGTATGCTTCTTGAACCTTCATAGGAATATCTTTCTTTAGGTTGGTAAAGTTTTCTTCTATAATTTTATTAAATATATTTTCTGGGCCATTGAGCTGTACTTCTTCTTCTACCCTTATTATTCTTAGGTTTGGTCTTTTTATTGTGTCTCAGATTTCCTGAATGTTTTGTTATGAGAATTTGTTGGATTTGCTGTTTTCTTTAATCATTGCATTTATTTTCTCTATGGTATCTTCAGTGTCTGATATTCTTTCTTCTATCTCTTGTATTCTGTTGGTAATAATTGTCTCTGTAGTTCCTGTTCGTTTACCCAAATTTTCCATCTCCAGCCTTCCTTCGGTTTGTCTTTTCTTCATTACCTCCATTTCATTCTTCAAGCGTTTCCCTTACCTGTTTGATTGCTTTTTCTTGTTTCTCTTGGTTTTGTTGGGTATCTTTGAGAGATTTTTTCATTTCCTCTACCTTTTTGTTTGCCATCTCTATTTCTTTATCGCAGTTTTTCACCTCCTCTTTAAGGTCCTCTATTATTTTCATATATTTCTGTTTAAAGTCGATTTCTTCTATTTCTTCTGGAGTCGTGTGTTCAATTCTTCTTGTTTTGGGATCCCTGGATTCTGGTGATGTCATGTTGCCTTTCAGGTTGTTGGAGGAATTCTTGCATTGGCACCTTCCTTCAAATGGAACCAGGAGAGGCCTGGTGTCTTGGTCCAGTCTTTGCTGTGACTGACTCTCTGGGTGGATCTCCTCAGTGTAGAAGCAGGTACTCTTCCTGTCTGGATGGAGATCCTCACCACTGAAACAGGGATGCCTGGTTTCCCCCTCTGGGTGGATAGCCAGTCAGGATAAAACTCCTCAGCACTGAAACAGGGATGCCTGGTAGCCCAAAGACACCGAGGACAAAAGGGCGAACGTGGGCCGTGGGGTGGGTTTGAGTAGAACACAGGAGACCCTGTATCACAAGCTGAAGGTGCCCGCACTCCCTTGCAGGGACCTTCAGTCCTGCCCGGCAGGCAGGCAGGCACTTACCCCTCTGGGTGGGTAGCCTTAGTGCAGGAGCGGGGAAACAGTTCCTGAACCAAGGACCTTGCAGACAACAGGGCAGGCTTGGGGGGTGTCATGTGTTAGAAAGACACCCCTGCAGCAGGAGCTGGGGGAGGAGGGTTGTGCTCTCTTCCAGGACAGGCTGCCCCAGGATAGCACACACTCACCCGTCCAGATGGAACTCCTCAGCACTGAAACAGGGACACCTGGTAGCCCAAGGACCCCCGGACAAAGGGTTAATGTGAGGAGCAGGGTGGGGTCGAGTAGAAACACAGGAGACCCTGCAGCACAAGCTGAAGGTGCCAGCGTTCCCTTGCGGGGGACCTTCAGGCTTGCCTGGTAGGCAGGCACTCACCCCTCTGGGTCCGTAGCTTTAGTGCAGGAGCGGGAAACTGTTCCTGAGCCTCTTTATCCATTCTTTAGCTGAGGGGCATTTAAGTTGTTTGCAAGTTCTGGCTATTACAAATATGGCTATGAACATAGTCAGACAAACATCCTTGTGGTATGAAAATCCTTTGGGTATATGCTGGGTCTTGAGATAGGTTGTTTCTCAGTTTCCTGAGATTACTGCCATACTGATTTCCAAAGTGGCTGTACAAGATTGCTCTCCGACCATCCTTGGAGGAATGTTCCCCTTATTTCACATCTTCTCCAGCATTTCCCTTATGGCAAACAATGTTGAGCATTTCCTTAAGTGTTTTTCAGCTATTTGAGATTCATCTGTTGAGGGTTCTGTTTAGGTCTGTACTGTATTTTTTTTAACTGGATTATTTGTTATTTTGATGCGAAGTTTCTTGTGTTCTCTGTATATTTTGAAAACCAGTCCTATGTCCTCTGTGGGGTTGATGAACATCTTTTCCCATTCTATAGGCTGTCATTTTGTATTGTTGACGATGTCCTTTGCTTTACAGAAGCTTCTCAGTTTCAGGAGATCTCATTTATTAATTGTTGATCTTAGTGTCTTTGCTACTAGGATTATATTTAGGAAGTAAATTAGGCATACAGCTGCTGGTGTTGCTATTTATGGTAAAGGACATAATTGTGGCAGTGTTAGTGATTTTTGTAATTTCCACACACATATATTAATTTACATCATGTGAATGAAGTCAGACCAGATGTGTGAGTGTAAAACTTGGGGAGGATAATTAACATCAAATTTCCAAGTAGATAGCTCTCCTTTGCAGATATGTGTAATTCGTTTGGAACAGTTTTTTGAGCTCAGAGAGCTGAGTTATAGGTCACTGGCTGTAGCTGTGTCCGTCATGTAAGATGTCAGCAGCTAAGACTGCATATAGGGAAACGTTGAAGAGTATATTAATGCAGTCACTTTACTAGGCTATGCCAATTTTTGGTTTCACTTTTTAATTTTGTTTTCTTTAAATGTATCACTGTGTTAATGTATTATTTGCTTTATTCTCCAGTCATTAAGAATATCTTTCCATTTTTCTCAGGCTACTTATTTCTGTTTAGAACAGCATATACTGTGGCTTAGGCTTGCGTCTCCATATTTAATTGGGAATTGGATTGATCATTTAATTCTGCCTCTGCTGCCCAGAGGTGGGAAGACAGTCTGGACTTGATTGGTCAGTGAGAAGTAAAAATATCTGGCTTTTATTGGGAATGTATAAATGAAGTGGGGCGTGTGCAGTACTTGAGTTCACTAACCAACTTTACCAGCAGCTGTAGTCACAGCACAGAAAGGGCAGGGCCCCCAGAAAAAGGGTGAAAATTTTCCCACTGTGACAGTAGTTGACATTAGTAATGGGTACTGAATTAATCAATCTTATTGATTGATGGTCAGTAAGTACCTTGACTGGCCACAGACCAGACAATGAAGAATATGGATAATGAACTGAACTTTGGTGAAACCATATTACTGTAGTTATTCCAGTTCAACCAAAATAGAAGATCTGGATAAAATGGTGTGACCCTGCATAACAGGACTCTTCTTTTCCAGGTTTAAGATTTGTACGACCTGAAAGAAGTGGTGTGAGTATTCCTTGGTGTGCTCTAATAGAAATCCCTAATCGCTTGAGAACATGGACACAAAGCCTATTTCAATTTAACATATTTTTTTTGGATGATAATTACATTGTTTCTACATCCCCTTTCCTGCCTCCAAGTCCAGGTGTGTCAGTCATTCCAGGCTTGGCCTTGCTGGTTATCAAGAAGGAAAATGAATGAAGGGAAGAAGTGTCCTATTGCAGCTCAAACTTTTTATTGTAGAAGCTCTTGTGTAAGAATGTGAATTCATTTTCTATGCATTATAGGCAGGTCACAGTATAGAAAGACAGGGCAAGAAGGAAGCCTTAATTTTTTCCAGTTTTGTCTGCAATATGCAATCAATTAATCAGTTACAGGTGATCTATAATTGTCCTGTGTTGCTATTTCTTGGGTATCACAGACCAGGTTCCTTGGCCAGTATATTTATATGTCACCATTGATATGTTACATCTGTGTCCAGGACAGAAAGACAGAGATTCTGTTCTCTTGACTAAGAGAGCCTTTTTCTCTAAACAGGCCTTTAAAAAAAAATTACATTTATCTTTCCTCCTTTGCCCCAAGGATCACTTAGCAACAGAGATCAGAACTCCCACAATACTTTTGACTTCTTTGACCTTTTACAAAGTTGAAACTGGTAAGAGTCCTAGTGACACTTCTGACTTTTAGTTAAGAAAGCAACTAGTTAGTTTTATTTGAGGGTCTTTTTACCTTAAACTGCCTTGTATTGTTGTTATGGAAGACAGATTTGCAAAACATAGAGAGCCTTTGCCTCTCTAGGATCTCTCTGCACTTTTAATATTGAGCATTTAGGTTTAGGATCTATCTGGAGTTAGTTTTGTCGAGCTTGTTTACATTATCTCATGTGTAGAGTAGCATTCCACTGCTAAACTGTGAGGTAGAATAACTGATAGTATAAAAATAAACTGTATCTTAGGAGACATTATGTCACACTAAGTAGAATTTAGCAAAGGTTGTGTTGCCTCCCAAATACTCCATATATATTTGAGTAGTATGTTAACTGCACCTGTTAGTGAACTAGGTTGCTTAAGGGACCATAAAGGGTCACAACTAACATTAAATTCTGGTATACCATAAAGGTATATGAATTCTAGAACAGCTAATCTCCAGCCTTTTTTAAAAATGGTTTTGAGCCGGGCAGTGGTGGCACAGCACTCAGGAGGCAGAGGCAGGCAGATCTTCTTTGAGACCAGCCTGGTCTACAAGAGCTAGGCTCCAAAGGTACAGAGAAACTCGATCTCAAAAAACAAAACAACAACAACAAAAAATGGTTTTGAGCTAAGATCTTCTATGCTGATTCAGGTGGATTTGACCCCTATCTGTAGTCCCCCAGGGCATTGCCCTTGTTATCACCCTGACTAAACACTCTAAATTCTTGAATTACAGGTGTGTAGTAACACAGAGTTTTAAAATTACCAATTTGGTTCACATAGTAGACTGTCCATTGCACTATTTCAGATGTCAAGAGGCAGATAAGGATATAAGGGCTACATTGCAGGCACCAGGAAAGGTTTGGTCTGTAAGAGACATAATAACAATAACAAAATTACAGCTCCCAAATAAATAGAGACTTATATTAATTATAAATGCTAGTCTCATAGCTCAGACTTATTACTAACTAGCTCATACAACTTTAATTAATAAATTTCTATAAATCTATGTGTAACCCCAGGCCAGTGGGATTTACCTCCCTTGCATGTCTTGCTTCCTCTCTGTCTGGATTGTGGCTCCTCTGATTTCACCCTTTTTCTCAAAATTCTCCTAATCTCACTCTCCCACTCAATCTATTCCTGCCCATTAATAGGCAAGTCAGTTCTTTATTTACCAATGAGAGTAATATATATTTGTAACTGGGCTCTAACATCTTTCTTGGGGGAGGGGTTGAGAAGGTGTCATATCAACAACACAAAAGCTTAGTGTAGAAGGAGCCTGTGCGATCATTTCCTGGCTGCTCAGACCCAAATAAATACACAGAAACTATATTAATTTCAATACTGTTTGGCCAATGACTGAGACATATTCCTAATTAGCTCTTATGTCTTAAATTAACTCATTTCTATTAACCTATGTATTGCACAAGGCTGTAGCTTACTGGTAATGTTCTGGCATCTTCCTCCTTTAGCAACTACATGGTGTCTCCTTGACTACACCTACTCTTTCTCTATATCTCTGTTCAGATTTCTCACCTAGCTTTACTCTGCTAAGCCACTGGCCAAAACAGCTTCATTCATCAACCAGTAAAAGCAACACACATATAAAAGTACATCCACATTAGCCTGGAGTCTGGTAAAAAAGGATACATTAGATTTGGTTATTTCGCAATAGGGAAAGCTTATATAACCTCCCAGCATGCAGGCATTTCAATTTGTTGACATTGCATGATTGCCCCTCATGGGCAATATTGCACATTCCTCCCTCATTGCCTACTTCAGTATTTCTGATAGTCCCAGGCACACTCCAGAATGGCTCATCTCTCGGCCTGGTAGACCTTAACTTCCTTCATATCAACATGTAGATATGAAGATGTAGAGTTCTTTGCTCAGGCATTGTTGACCCCACCTCAGGAGTGATCTGCAACTGGACTGTGCCTTTCCTAGGTAGCCTGCTGAACAATCAGTCTCTTCCCTGTCATTGACTACTAGCCCTGTGGATAGCTGCCTGGATGGGGCAACTAGGTGATAACCTGTTGAATTTCAGATAGGCATGCATAACCTCCTGCTGAGGACTGATAGAAGGATGCCTAAGAGCCATTAACACCTTAGTGGCTGCCCACTGCTACTGAATCTGCTGCAGGAGGCATTAAAGAGAATAAGGATTAGCAATACTACCCAGTCAATTAATGCATATGAGAGCATCCAGGAGGGATCAAATAGCCTATGTATATTATGCCAAACTTTTTCAAAAAATGAATCATCAAAGACCATAACTTCTGACCTTACTTATTCACAGTATAGAGGATTAATCTATAGCATACAACATCTAAGTTTTTGAGTTCTTTACATATTTTGGCTATTTGTTATCTATTGGATGTGGAGTTTTTAAAATCTTGCCTCATTCCTTAAGCTGCTTTTTTGTCTGATTGACTATGTCCCTTTGTCTTACAGAAGCTTTACAGTTTCATGAGATACCATTTATTAATTGTTCACCATAGTGTTTCCACTGTTATTCCATTGTTATATGGTTGAGAACACCATATCCTGTGCCAGTACATTCAAAGTTTTCCACACTTGGTCTTGTACCTGTTTCAGTGTGTCTGGTTTTATTTTGGGGATCTTTGACCCACTTGGATATGAGTTTTGTGCAGAATGATGAATGTGAATATTTGAATTAGGCTACATTCAAAAATTCAGTTTAGTAGACACCATTTGTTAAAGGTGCTTTCTTTTTTTTCCATTTTGTATTTCTGAATTTCCTTTGCAGAAATCAAGCATCCAGGATTTATGTCTGGTCTTTAACTTGATTCCAATGTTCAACAAGTGTGCTTTGCTACTAATGACATGCTTTTTTTTTTTCTATATATACTGTTTCTTTGTGTAACAGTCCTCACTATCCTGTAACTAGTGCTTGAGAACCATGCTGGCCTTGGTCTCTGTCTCCAGACTTCTGGAATTAAAGGTGTTCACCACCACTGCCTGGTGCCATGATATTCTCTTATTGTTCAGGATTATTCCAGCTATCATGTTTTTTTGTTTGTTTGTTTTGTTTATCTACATAAAGTGGCAAACTGCCCTTTCATTGTCTTTAAGCACTTGTGTTGGAATTTCCATGGGGATTGTGCTGAATCTATAGATTGCTTTTAGTAGGATGGGTAATCCTACTGTGTTAATCCTACTGATCCTTGAGCTTAACATATCTTTCCATCTCTCTGGTATCTTCTTTAATTTCTTTCTTTAATTTTTTGAAGTTATTATTGAAAGGCCCCCCGGTGTGGGGAGACTCTCACTCAAGTCTCGAGACAACACCCCCGCCCCCAGAAACTCACGAGAGACTGTCCTTGCTGCAATCACACGGGGTTTATTTGACAGGACAGGAACCAGTGCACTGGGGCCGAGACTCATAACCCACGCAGGGGAGGAGTTCAACCCCGAGTAATTGGGAGAAGGGGTTTTTAAAGGAAGAAACCACAGCCCAGTAATCTGAAAGGGGCAGGGAGGGCGGCACAGAAAATTCCGAAAATACCAGTGATGATCATAAGGGGGCAACTCCCTGTTTCTCAAGATTATACTCAAGATTACAATCTAACTTTATCTTCAGCTAGTTCCTGAAACTGAACTGGCTAATCCTAGATTTCTGATTCTTCTCTCCCTGCTTAGATTTTTGGCTCTATTTTTTCCTGCTAGGGGGGTCTGGATTTATCCAGGTCTTTCAATTATCACACAAGTTATTTCACTTGTTTTATTAGAGTTACTGGAACATATATTTGAGGCTATTATAAATGGTGTTTTTCCCTTATTTCTTTCTCAGTTTATTATTTATAGGAGGGCTACTGATATTTTTTTAGTTACTCTTATATCCAGCTACTTTGCTGAAAGTGTTTTATCAATTGTAGTTCCTTTGTCCAATTTTTAGGGTCACTTACGTATCTATCATACCATTTACAAATAAAAAGACTTTGACTTCTTTGTTTCCAAGTTATATCCCATTGGTGTCCTTAATTTCTTTTATTGTTCTAATTAGAACTTCAAGTACTATATTGAGTTGGACTGACTTGGAGTTTCTCTACATTTAGTTTAATGTTGGCTATAGTTTTGCTGTAAATTTTCTTTATTATGTGTATGTATGTACCTCATATCCCTAAACTGCAAGACTTTTATAATGTTTGATTTTGTCAAAGACATCTTGTTGTACATGTAATGGGATGACACTGTGTTCTATTTTGTTTTTCAATTTATTTTTATGGTGGATTGCATTTAATGTTTTTTTTTTTTATGTTGAACCTTCACTGCCTGTTGTTAAAAGGGCGAATGGGCTGCTTTCCATCCCGCCTGGCTCCCGGCCACCCAGCTAGCTTTATCCAAAATAATTACATGGAAACTGTATTCATTTAAACACTGTCTGGCCCATTAGTTTTAGCCCCTTATTGGCTAACTCTCACATATTGATTTAACCCATTTCCATTAATGTGTATCGCCACTTGACTGTGGCTTACTGGCATGAGTCTAACCAGCGTCCATCTTGGGCAGGAGAACCATGGCGTCTGCCACACTGTCTTCTTTCCAGCATTCTGTTTTGTCTACTCTGCCTCCCTAAGGACTGCCCTATCAAAAGGCCAATGCCATCTCTTTATTTAACCAATAAAAGTAACACATAGACAAAACACCCTTCTATACCAACTGCCTATCTGGGATGTAGCCTAATTGATGAGTTTACATCAGTTTTTGATGTGTTCTTGGAATCTCTTGGCAAGTATTTGAATATTTGTGAATTTATATTCAAGAGGGAAATTGGTCTGTAACTCTCTTTATAACATTTGTCACAACACTGGATCTCTGTACTGAATTAGTTTAATGATCTCAAAGTCCTGAAGCAGAGGGACTAGAGGCAATGAATACTTGAAATTGGAATTCTCAGAGTCTGTCTACCTGGTGCAATCTCTATATTTTTAAGGGCAATTGCAGAAACCTTTGTTTCCACTGTTTCCTGTCTCAGGTCTAACATATATAGTAGCATCTGATATGAATCATCTATGATTACTTAAATACAAAAGCCTGCATTTATGGATAATCTGTGGCATCATAAGATGAATTTCCTGATGTTTGATTCCATGGTTTCTTAGAACCTACATCCCATGAGTCCAAGCCCTGATGGCTTTTAGAATCTCCACTGAGAAGTCAAATGTAATTCTCATAGGTGTGCCATTGTATGTTTCTTGATTTTTTTTTTACTTTGCAGCTTTTAATATTCTTTTGTTAAAGAAAAGGAAGACCATTAGAAACATTTACAAACCATTTTGTTTTCTATGACTATTGCTATCAGAAATAATGATGATTAATTCCTGTTCTGTTGTTTATTTTTTGGCATGGTTAGTGTTTTGATTATTATGTGGTAAAGGGAATTTTTCTTTTTAATGTTTTATTAATCTATATATTTTCTCCACTTCTCTCCCTTCCTCCTCCCTCCCTTTCTATCTTCTTCTATGATTCCCATGCTCCCATTTTACCTAAACATAATAAAGGCATTATACAGCAAGTCAACAGCCTGAATGGAGAGAAACTCAAAGCTATCTTGCGGAAATCAGGAACAAGACAAGGTTGTTCACTCTCTCCATATCTATTCAGTATAGTACTTGAGATTCTTAGCTAGAGCAATAAGACAACAAAAGGAGATCAAAGGGATACAAATTGGAAAAGAAGTCAAACTCTCACTGTTTGCTGATGATATGATAGTTTACATAATTGACACCAAAAATTCTACCAAAGAATTTCTACAACTCATAAAAACCTTCAGTAATGTACCAGTATACAAGATTAAGTAAAAAAAAAAAAAAAAAGAAAGAAAGAAAGAAAGAAAGAAAGAAAGAAAGAAAGAAAAATAGTAGCCCTCCTTTATACAAGTGATAAATGGGCTGAGAAAGAAATTAGAGAAATGCCAACATTCATAAAAGCCACAAATAATAAATAATGTCTTAGAGTAATTCTAACCAAAGAAGGGAAGACCTGTATGACAAGAACTTTAAATCTTTGAAGAAAGTAATTGAAGAAGACACCAGAAAATGTAAAGATCTCTCATGATCTTGGGTAGGTAGAACTAACATAGGAAAAATGGCAATCTTTCCAAAAGCAATCTACATATTCAATGCACCTGCCATATAAGTCCCAACACAATTTTTCACAGACCTCAAAAGAACGGTACTCAACTTCATATAGAAAAACAAAACTCCTGGATAGCACAAACAATCATCTGCAATAAAGAAACTTCTGGTGGCATCACAATCCCCAGCTTCAAACTTTACTGCAGAGCTACAGTACTGAAAACAGGCTGGTATTTAATAATTGCTGCTGACATATCTGGATATCAAATGTAGAAGAATGAAAATAAATCCATATTTATCGCCACACACAAAACTCAAGTCCAAATGGATCAAAGACCTCAACATGAAACTAACCACACTGAAACTAATAGAAGAGAAAGCAGGAACTACATTTGAACGCATTGGGACAGGAGACCACTTCCTAAATATAATGTCAGTAGCAGAGACACTGATAGAAATAATTAATAAATGGAACCTGTTAAAACCGAGAAGCTTCTCTAAAGCAAAGATCTGGTTTCTTAGATAAAATATTAAATCTCTTGGACGGTTATTACTTATGATTCATTCAGGACTACAGTGGGAAAAAAGCAACACTTGGGTCGTAAATAAATAATGTCTCTGGGTTGTAGAGAAAAACAGGTAGTTCTAGGTGGCAGTCAAGGGCTGAACAGTGGCAGAAATTTTCAGGGAAATCATCACCATTATAGAGAAGACCACAATATACATTGATAACCTAGCAAGCTGCCAAAATGTAAGAATTTATTTTTCTATGCCCTCAGTTAATGGAAGAATTAGGTAAAGTAATTCCTAGTCTCCAGATGCAACTTCATAGGAAGCCTGCTACAACTCTGGTCTAAGCAAGGCAGGGTCTATCACAACTTAGAAGCCAAATTTGGGGGAATCATTGATGTTGTACTGGTTCTGAAAACAAAAAGGTGCAAAATTTAAGGCCATACATGCTTTCTTTTTTTTCAGTTCAGCAATTTTGTAGGTGTTTGGTAGAGTCTGAGCTCCACTGAGGAGACTCTTAGTTCATTGCAAGACGCTGTGAGAAAGATGCCTGGGTTGTATTTTGAGACCATAAGATGGTGAGATATTTAAGCTATGAAACATCTTATGGAGAATCATATATATGAAGTGGAAGTAAAGAAAGAGAAAAAGGTATATGCAAAGTTGTTGGGATAGGGCCATCTTAGCCATTTGATGTGTCTGACACAGAGCTACTGGATTTGATGGTTTCATTCTTACCTTGGACTACCATGTTTTCTTACCATGTCTCAATTCCTCTCCTTTGGAATATTCGGAATATTCTCTGCCATTGTCTATTGAAAATATATAACTTGAAAATGTCCAAGAGTTTTTGGACATTTGAGCAGTGTAGTGGTTGCTGCAGTCTATGAGATTCATTGTGGTGACTAAATGCATTTTCTTCATTGATAGCCGTGGTTGAACCTATAGTGATATGGCTCAGAATCTAGTTGACTGAATGACTAAATTTCTATTTCCTTGATGGCTTTCTTTTTGGGGTGCTTGTTAGTATAAGAATCCTTTCTGGATGAAACTCATTAGAAGTGGGATTTGGGTGTCTCTAGCCTCAACCCATTTTTTTTTGTTCTTTGTATCTAATATGTTATGTTTGAAACTTATCAACCTGTTTCCTTCTTTGGCTGTCATGCCTTCAGCATTGTTATAAATGCTATCTGTAAATCATATAAGACACAGCAGAAACAATTTCTATTCAATGCTAAGCCATTTTGGTAGCATGATTTTATTTTTTGAATTTCTTTTGTGTAATAGTTGAAACTGATCAGTCAGCTTTTTGTGCTATCATGACTTCATCACCATTATTAATGGTATCACTAAATCACATAAGGTATAACAATTCAATGCTAAGCCATTTTACTAGCTTAATTATTTTATTTGTTTTTGTTTGTTTCTGAGACAAGGTTTGCGTAGTTCTGGCTGTCTTGAAGCTGTTTTGTAGACCAGGAGGTGGATTTTTAATATTTACTTCTTACCGTCCATGAACTGATTGCATAGATTAGGACAGCATTCGACTCAGAGGCAGATATACCTGCCTCTCCCTTCTTAGTGCTGGAATTAAAGACATAAGCCAATACACAGATCTTGCTCATCCTTTCTTGTAGTTAGTAATTGTTGATAAAATTTCTTTGTTGTGTACTCATTACTGTTGATGTGTTTGCTTGTCTTTCTTTGTCGGTTAGTAAGCATTTTCCATGGCAGGTAGTATCCCACTCAGGAATGATAGAGATAAATCTCCTACTTAATTTCCTTCTAAAGACTCTTAATGATTGTATTATAATGCCTGCCATAGTAAGTACCAGAATTATATGATTGTACATTTACAATGTTGTCAGTATTACCAGTTTTTATATAGTTTTATATTTTAGGATGCAGTAACCTATAGTGATGTGCATATTGACTTCAGTCTGGAAGAGTGGGCTCTGCTGGATCCTTCCCAGAAGAATCTCTACAAAGATGTGATGCTGGAGACCTATATGAACCTCACTGCTATAGGTAATACTATGGGAATTTCCTTCACATTTTAAATTAATGGAACAGCTGTGTTTTGCTTACTAATGCTCTTCAGTATTTGTGATTGAGAAGGAGGAAGAATAAGATGAATAAATCCGGCATAGTTCTAAGGTTCACTGAAGATAGTAACCTATGTCCAATTTTCAATAACATATAATACATTTCTTGCTATTGTCTTTTAGGCTGCAGGTGGGAAGATCATAATATTGAAGAGTATTGTCAAAGTTCTCGAAGATATGGAAGGTAATTTTTATGTGCAAGCTGATACAATGTGCCTCTGAAGATATTTTAATATATCTGGAGATTTTAAAGAAAAGCAGCAGTGTAAATAAGGACAGCTTAAAGTGTATTAATGATTATTAAATCCTCACAAAATCACATGTCTCAATGGCAAGTAAGTGAACTGTGTTTTCTAGTAATTGTTAAAACAATTAAAAGGAGGACAAGGAAACAATATCTTAACAGATCTTACTATTTGAATCATAGCTACATCAGAGCTATGCTGTAGAACTTCCAATCTGTTTAGTTTGAAACCACTCCTATTACAAAAGATATACATATTGAATAGGTGATAAGTATATGTCCAAAATCTTTAAATAAGCAATTAATCCCTTGTGAAACTAGGGTTACTCAAATAGTTGTCATGATGGCTAAGTTCAGTGAGAGGGGTAGTTAAGAGTTACGGGAGTTTGTTGTGGAGAAACCTTAATCAGTATACCATTTCTCTCTGAGTAACAGAGATTCAAGCTGTGTATATGTATTGTGGAAATCCTTTGTTTTGCTTTCTTTAATAGGTATATCCTATGTCAGTCTGGATAGAAACCATATGATCATAGGGATGTGGAAAGAAGTAACTTTTTTCATCTCAAAACAATTAGAAGATATGTAGTAGTCCCCATGTTGAGTAGACTTGTTGAATATAATGCAAGTTTTCAAGTAATTGGTTTTCCAACTTCTTTGGGAATGCATCAACAAACTCCTAGTGCAGAAAAGTCCAATGAGTAATAGAAATGTGTATAAACTTATCTTTGTCCTGTCAGACTTTACAAATGTAGTATGGCTTACAATATTAAAAAAAATTAACAGTGGAATAATGGGGTAAAGGTCTGAATTCTTCCAGTATTGTTATAATAAGTGAAAAATCTCATAGAGAAAAAAGATGCCATAAATGTGAGCAAGGTAATAAAGGCTCTTTCCATCACAGGCATCTTCAAAGATGCAAAATAGTCTTTAATGAAGGAGAACAACATGAGTGTAAACAAAGGGGTAAAAGCTTAAGATCTGAATCCTCTTCATAGTTAGAACAAATTAATTAATTTGTAAAATTAATTCATGCAGATATAAAGATTCAACAGTGTAATGAATGTTGTAAAGATATTACATGTGCCAATTATCCTTGCAGGCATAAAAGAAGTCATTCAGAACAACCTTCTGAATATACTCAATGGGTTAAAGCCTTTCCATATCGCAGTTATCTTCAAAGACATGAAAGAATTCATAGTGGTCAGAAGCTCTATGAAGGTGTTCAATATGGTGATGCCTTTGAATGTCATAATAGTTTCCAAATACATAAAGAAAGCCATAGTGCAGCAAAACGCCATGAATGTGATCAGTGTGGTAAAGCCTTTTCACGATACAGTCGTCTTCAAATACATAAAAGAACACATACTGGAGAGAAACCCTATGAATGTACTCAATGTGGAAAAGCCTTTTCACAACACAGTAATCTTCAAATACATAAAAGAACACATACTGGCGAGAAACCCTTTGAATGTACTCAATGTGGTAAAGCCTTTTCACAACATAGTACTCTTCAAATGCATAAAAGAACACATACTGGAGAGAAACCCTATGAATGTACTCATTGTGGAAAAGCCTTTGCACGTCTTAATATTCTTCAAATGCATAAAAGAACACATACTGGAGAAAAACCTTTTGACTGTAATCAATGTGGCAAAGTATTTGCAGTACAAAGAAGTCTCCACATGCATAAACGAACACATACTGGAGAGAAACCCTATGAATGTAATCAATGTGGTAAAGCCTTTTCGCAACACAGATATCTTCAAATGCATAAAATAACACATACTGGAGAGAAATCTTATTTATGCACTCAATGTGGAAAAGCCTTTGTACATCAAAATTCTCTTCAGAGGCATGAAAAAACACATACTGGAGTGAAACCCTATGAATGTAATCAATGTGGTAAAGCCTTTGTTTGTCAAAGTAGTTTCAGACTACATAAAAGAGCACATACTGGAGAGAAACCCTGGGAATGTTCACAATGTGGTAAAGCTTTTGTATGCCAAAGTCGTCTTCAAAAACATAGAAGAACACATACTGGAGAGAAACCCTATGTATGTATTCGATGTGGAAAAGCCTTTGCACAACATGGTCATCTTCAAAGGCATGAAAGAATACATACTGAAGAGAAACTCTATGAATGTAATTACTGTGGAAAAGTTTTTTCACATCCCAGTGTGCTACATAGGCATAACAGAATACATACTGGAGGGAAACCCTATCATTGTTCTCAATGTGGAAAAGCCTTTGCACATCCTAGTATTCTACAAAGACATAAAAGAACACATACTGGAGAGAAACCCTATAAATGTGTTCAGTGTGGAAAAGCCTTTACAGAACATAGTTATCTTCAAAGGCATAAAAGAACACATACTGGAGAGAAACCCTATAAATGTACTCATTGTTCAAAAGGCTTTGTACAGCACTGTTATCTTCAGAGGCATGAAAGAACACATAATGGAGAGAAACCCTATGAATGTAATCAATGTGGTATAGCCTTTGTATCTCAAAGCAGTTTCCGAATACATAAAAGGGCACATACTGGAGAGAAACTCTTTGAGTGCCCTCAATTTGGAAATGCCTTTGTACACTGAATTCTCTTCATAGGTATGAATGATTACATACTATAGAGAAACCCTATGAATATACTCAATGTGGAAAGACTTTTGTATGTCAAATCAGTCTCTGAGTACTAAAAGAAAAAAGTCTGGAGAAAAAAACATACACATGCAATATGATAAAGCCGTTACAAAATCATAAAAGATCATACTGCAAAGAAACCCTCTAAATGTAGTCAGTGTAACAAAGTTTTGCAAGTCATGGTAGTAGTATAAGAGTAAAACTTGTGTAATTGGTTTGTTAAAGCCTTTGAACATATTAGACTAGACTTTGAGGATTGAAAAAAAACTCATACTGAATGGAATCTTGATGTGGGAGTGTCATATATCAATCTGTTGATTTCATTGGTTAATTAAATAAAGAAACTGCTTGCCCTGGTAGGTTAAAACATAGGTGGGAGGAGTAAACAGGATGAAGAGGAAGTGAGGTAAGACTCCTCAGACAGACTCGACAGCTCTGCTCTGGAGCAGAGACGCCATGCTCAGCTCTCCCGAGTAGAGGCGATAGCTCCTCTCAGCTCCGACCCAGGATGGATGTAGGCTAGAATCTTCCCAGTAAGCGCACCTTGGGGTGCTTACACACATTATTAGAAATGGGCTAGTCCAGATGCGAGAGTTAGCCGAGAAGAGGCTAGATATAATGGGCAAGCAGTGTTTAAATGAATACGATTTGTGTGTTATTATTTCGGGGCATAAGCTAGCAGGCGGCTAGGGTGCTAGGGATGCAGCCCCGCCGCTCCAATTTCAACAGAATCTGTGTAAAGTATCTGGTAAGATTTATAGCCAACACACTTATGTTCAATTAAACAAGATTCTTTATTCTGCAGAAAAAAAATTGACAAGAGTCAACAGTCTCTTCAAGCATTATTATGGATCTCAGTTCAAGCCAGCCTGGTATCCAGGACAGCCAAAGATGTACAGCGAAACCCTGACTGGATAAACCAAATATTAAAAGTAAAACTAAAAGAAATAGAGAAAAAACAGCTACATAATCACAGATAATCTGGATACTGTATAATATTGTGTTGTCTTTCAAGTGTTTGGCTGCAGAGGAAGGAGGAATAACAGCTCCTAAAAGACAATTATAAATGCTTTTGGATTACTCCAACCTATATATTTTCAAACTGTCTTGACATTGCAATTTAAGTCAAAAGATACGTTACTTTGGAGAAGAGGTTTTGTTTTTGTTTTCACAGGAAATGAGAGGCTGTGAATTTATTTTAGGCTACGAAAAATAAGCTTTGATCAAGGAAGACCTCCCGAAAAAAATCTCCAGTGGAAATGGATGGCCACAATGATCCAGTGTTGTAGAGCACCAGTTTTGCAGTTTCTCTGAGTTTTGCATACAGAACAGCCTCCAAATTGCTGGATGAAATGACCCAGCCTCACAGAATACTTTTAGTACTTTGACCATAATCCATAATTTTCTTTTCTTCAATGTATAGAATGGGATGCCCATCACCTAAGTGAACCATTTTTATTTACATAACAAGCAGTGTATGATCATGCTTTCCAAGTAAATATGTCTGTGAAAGGGTTGTGGATCGTTGTTCCTGGTTTTAATTTTCATGTTTTTAAACAAATTCCCTGAAATGTTGTTTGTTATCCGTTCTAGCATGGATGTCAGTAAATAGGTATGTATTTAAATTCATGATCCTCATGTATCAGTTTCCTGAGTACAACTAGGAGTTAGATGATGTAATGTCACTGTTTGCTATTTTGTCGATACAACACATTTTAACAATATTAATGTTATAATGGTTAATAGAAGAGAATATAAGAAACATTAAATTTCTCATGTGTGTATCCAAGGCAGCATTTTCATCTATCTGGTAGAGATGTAATGATCTGGGATAATCAGCAGCCTATAGTGTATCTCACAACATTGCTTGATGTTCTATTGATATACTATTTGAAGTTTCATGCATCTTGTTGTCCCCATCAGTTTTCCATTTGTAATGATAATGATATTGTTTTAAAGTGTGTGTGTGTGTGTGTGTGTAACATTATTATGGGTTTTTAAGGCCATGAAACATATGTGGAGATTGGAACTCAACTTTGTGAAATCTACCTTGTTCCATTCATGTGGTGATCAAGATAAGTTTACACACCAGAGAAATTGCCACTGTGTTCTCTGGCTGATGCTCAAATAAGATTAGTTGAATTGTTATGTCAGTAAACTTGTCTTTTCAGAATGTAAACATATTTCCACCGAAAGATAGATGAAAATAGGACAAATTGAATAATAAATTGCAAATGAAAATGTTACATTGCTATCTTTTTCTTTTTTTGTGGAATGTTTTAGTTCTTTCTGAGAGCTAAGCACTGTTTAAAAGACTTGATGACCTGAATTAAATGTCTGGGAGATCCATATTACTCCTAGAAATTTTTGTAATTTTTCTACACTTGGGCTGTAGCATATGCTGCCTCCCACAGAGGCACATATATAAATAATTTTTTTAAATCAAATAAGGGCCACTAGGTTCATGTGTAGCCAAATGACTCCCTGAGTTTCACCTTTAGAACTCACATAGTGAAAGCAGATAATAGACAACTCTAAATTTTCCTCTCACTACCACATACACATCATGATCAATGCATAGACACATATAAGCATTTTATTTTTTTAAATATTTATTTATTATGTATACAATATTCTGTGTGCGTGTCTGCAGGCCAGAAGAGGGCACCAAACCTCATTACAGATAGTTGTGAGCCACCCTGTGGTTGCTGGGAATTGAACTCATGACCTTTGGAAGAGCAGGCAATGCTCTTAACCACTGAGCCATCTCTCCAGCCCCATAGAAGCATTTTAAATGGATGAAATTGATAAAATAGCCCAATTATTGAGAATATATGAAATGATTTACCAGTTTAAGTTAAGAGTTTCAAGAAGTATTATTGTTCATTAGAATATTGATTGATCCTTTCTAAATATTTATTTTATCATTTAATTCTCTAATTCGAATATAGGTCATTGTAAAACATCTCAGCTGGACTTAGAGTTGTATGCCTGCAATTCCAGCACTTGAGAGATAGATGCCACTCTCTCTTAGTTTGAGGACAGTTTAGTCTCCATAGTGAGTTCCAGGATAGCCAAGACTATTTAGAATTATTCTATCTCCAAAAAAAATTCCAAAAGGAAAACTCACATCTCAAATTATGGAACTTTTCCCACTCCAACTGTACTCTGACTGGTTACAAAAAAACCTTTTGTTATCTTTACTCATTAATAGAACTGTGTTAACTGAAAATAAGAAGACTATGGAGAGTCCATTAACAGATGTGTAGAAAGATATTGAATCCTGTCAGAAGCCATGTCATAAGAAGAGCAAATGGCAATTAATATTCAAGGTTTCAACTCAGCAGGAAGAAGTTTTCTAATGAGAAGCCTTATTAAGCAAGGCCAGAATGTCAGAGACTCCAGAATATCTTTTGCTTTTGTGTGTAATTTCACAGGTGGTATTGCAATTTTTCCCTTGTGTCTATAGGGAGTCCACCACTGCCTGTATCTAGTGTGTTTATCTCACAGTTACATCCCAATTACTGGGCATTTTTATCTTTTAATGAGATGACCCCTTGTTCTGCTGTATTTTTAATGGATATTATCAGTGACAGTTCATACAGAGTTGTAAAGAATACAAATGAATACAAAGAAATACTTCACAAATCAAGTGTTAGATGGAAACAGCTGTATTTCTCAAGGTGCCAAGATAGCTGTACACTATTAGCTGATATAAAATTTCCAAGTAGTTATAGATTAGACCAGGTTCCTTGCTAATGGTTTCTAAGATTAACTGTAGAAATAGGAGCAGTGGGCCACTTCCCGCCACCCGGCTAGCTTTACACCTGAAATAACAACACACAAATTGTATTCTTTTAAGCACTGCCTGGCCCATTAGTTCTAGCCTCTTATTGGCTAATTCTTACATCTTGATTAACCCATTTCTATTCATCAGTAGCACCACGAGGTGGTGGCTTACTGGAGAGGAGCTTAACCTGCATCTGTCTCAAAGAGGAGAGTCATGGCAACTGCCTGACTCGGCTTCTTTCTCCTAGCATTCTGTTCAGTCTACTCCACCTACCTAATTTTCTGTCCTATTAAAGGGCCAAGACAGTTTCTTTATTAACCAATGAAAGTAACACATAGACAGATGACCCTTCTCCATCATTAACTATTCCCAGAAAAGCAATCTCATTTTATAAGGGTATATATACAGCTTTTGGGGGTTTTGAGCTAAGGTTAAAAAGGCAAAGTAACCTAATTTCTATACACTTTTGCTAGATTTGATGGGTAACCTAGGAAAATAATTACAGCTTTTTTTTCTAGAAACCCTCCCGGAAGAGAAGTTATGGCTGGTCAGGGCTATAAAAACTAATTTGACTTCATAGCTTTAGGAAATAGTTACAAGTTTCCAATTTTTCGTGGTCTAAAATTACATGCCAGGTGGATTACACTGGCCAAACTGGATCAAACCAGTTTAGACTGGTCCAAAGCCAGATCAAACTGGTTCAAACAGGATCACTCCGGTTTACTGGTTCCGACCGGATCAAACCGGTTTGAACCAGATCAAACCAGATTAGACTGGTTCTGACTATATCATACTGGTTTAGACCAGTTCAAACTGGATCAGACCAGATCAAACTGGTTCAAACTGTTTCAAACCAGATAAACCTGTTTAGATCGGCTCAAACCGGATCAAACTGGCTCAAACTGGATCAAACTAGTTTAGAATGGTTTAAACCAGTTCAGATCGGTTCAAAACTGGATCAAACTTATTCAAACCGGATTAAACAGGTTTAGACCAGCTCAAACTGGATCAAACCGGATTAAACTGGTTCAGAACGGATCAAACCGGTTTGGACCGGATCTAACCAGATTAGACCAGTTCTGACTAGATCAAACTGGTTTAAAACATTTCAAACTGGATCAAACTGGTTGAAAGTGGAGAAGACCGGCTCAAACCAGATTTATTCATTTCCAGCCGGACCAAACCCAGTTCAAACCGGTTTAGACAAGTTCAAACCGGTCTGGACTGGATTAAACCACTTAAAAACCTGTTCAGAATGGTTAATACTGGAACAAACTGGATTAGACCGGATTAAAGTGGTTGAAACTGGATCAAACCAGTTTAGACCGGTTCAAAATGCTTCAGACTGGTTCAAAACTGTATTATACTCTCAAAGTGGTTGAAACAAATTTAGTCCAGCTCAGACTGGAACAGACCGGATAAAACTGATTCAAATGGGAACAAACCAGTTTAGACCGGTTCAAACTGGTTTAGACCATTTCAAAACCAGATCAATATGATTCGAACCAGATCAAACCGGTTTAGACTGGTTCAAACTGGTTGAGCCTGGCTCAAACTGGATCAAACCAGCTTAGCCCTGTTCACACCGGATCAAACTGGATCAGACTGGATCAAACTGGTTCAAATTGTTTCAAACCAGTTCAAACCTGTTTAGACCGGCTCAAACGGGATCAGACTGGATGAAACTGGTTCAAACCAGATCAAACTAGTTTAGAACAGTTCAAACCAGTTTAGATCGGTTCAAAACTGGATCAAAATCTTTCAAACTGGTTCAAATAGATTTAGACTGGCTCAAAGCAGATCAACCTGGATCAGACCTGATCAAACTCCTTCAACTTGGATCAAACCAGTTTAGACCGGATCAACTGGCTCAAAGCAGATTTGACAGACTCAAACTGGATTATGGTTCAGGCTGGACATACTGGATCCAACAGGCATAGACCGGCTTAAACCGGTTTAGACAGGCTCAAACCCGATCAAGCTGGTTTAGACCTGCTCAAACAAGATCAAACCAGTTTAGACTGTTTCAAACCAGATCAAAGTGATTCAGACCAGATCAAACTGGTTCAAACTGGATCAAACCAGTTTAGACTGGCTCAAACTGAATCAAACCAGTTTAAACTGGTTCAGACCAGATCAAACTGGTTTGGACCGGATCATACCAGATTAGACCGGTTCTGACTATATCATACTGGTTTTGACCAGTTCAAACTGGATCAAACTGGTTGAAAGTGGAGAAGACCGGCTCAAACCAGATTAAATCAATTTCGGCCGGACCAAACCCAGTACAAACCAGTTTAGAGTGGTTCAAACTGGTTTGGACTGGATCAAACCGCTTCAAACCAGTTTAGACTGGTTCATACTGGATCAAACTGGATCAGACCGGATCAAAGTGGTTCGAACTGGATCAAACCAGTTTAGACTGGTTCAAACCGGTTGAGACTGGTTCAAAACTGGATTAAACTGTTTCAAAGTTGGTTCAAATGGGTTTAGACCAGCTCAAACCAGAACAGACTTGATAAAACTCATTCAAACTGGATGAAACCAGCTTAGACAGCTTCAAACCAGTTTAGACCCATTCAAAACCGGGTCAAAATCTTTCAAACCGGTTCAAATAAGATTAGACTGACTCAAACTGGATCAATCTGGATCAGACCCGATCAATCTGGTTCAACCTGGATTAAACCAGTTTAGATCGGTTCAAACCGTATCAACTAGTTCAAAGCAGATTAGACTGGCTCAAACTGGATTAGATTGGTTCAGGCCCGCCATACCGGATCCAAATGGTTTAGACCAGTTCAAACCACTTTAGAGCGGCTCAAACCTGGTCAAACCGGTTTAGACCTGCTCAAACTGAATCAAATCAGTTTACTCCGGTTCAAACCAGATCAAAGTGGATCAGAGCAGATCAAACTGGTTCAAAGTGGATCAAACCAGTTTAGACCGGTCCAAAGCCGGATCAAACTGGTTCAAACCAGATCAAACCAGATTAGACTTGCTCATACCGGATCAAACTGATTTAGACCTGCTCAAACCAGATCAAACCAGTTTAGACTGGTTCAATCCGGATCAAAGAGGATCAAACCAGATCAAACTGGTTCAAACTGGATCAAGCCAGTTTGACTGGCTCAGACCTGATCAAACCGGTTTGAACCGGATCAAACCAGATTAGACCCATTGTGACTATATCATACTGGTTTAGACCAGTTCAAACCAGGTCAAAGAGGTTGAAAGCGGATAAGACTGGCTCAAACTAGATTAAATCGGTTCCGGCCAGATTAAACCCGCTACAAACCAGCTTAGACCAGTTCAAACCGGTTTAGACTGGTTCAAAACCGGATTAAACTGTTTCAAACTGATTAAAATGGGTTTAGACTGGCTCAAACCAGATCAGACCGGATAAAACTCATTCAAACTGGATCAAACCAGTTTAGACTGTTTCAAACCGGTTTAGAC